ATATTAGTAGTACTTAAAATTTCCTGTCTCGATTTTCATTTTATCACCATTAAATCCAATTAATCTTTTTTCCTTTTTTTGTTCTGAGACTTAAAAGGGTATCTTTATCCTTTTTTATCTTCTTTTCTTTTTGTCTATATTTCCTCCTAGGCATTGATAGATGAAGGTGCAGTAGAATTGGTGGTACCAGGAAATTTCCCAATTGGATGTTCAGCAGTGTATTTGACACTGTTTGAAACCCCTAATAAAGCAGCATATGACGAACATGGGTGTTTGAAAGTGTACAATGCTTTTGCCAAGTATCACAATGCTCAACTTAGACTTGGCTTGGAGAAACTAAGGCAGAAGTACCCTCAAGCCAAAATCATCTATGCCGATTACTATGGTGCAGCTAAGAGATTTGTGCATTCACCCAAGCATTATGGTGAGTTTTACTTCTGAACTTATAAAGAAGTGAGTGAAAAAAAAAAATACTCGAGCTTTTTTGACATTATTCCGTTTATAGATCTGTTGATTGTAAGTATGTTTTTATGAAATATTTATAGTTGCATTTGCTTATAAATGTAATTGTAAGATAAAAATGAGATTAAAAATGTTTAGAGTTTTTAAGAAACACAGTAATGAAAAGCTTGCCATGCAAACAAAATGCCATAAAAAATTCATCCAATTTCCTTTTTCCTTTTTGGATTTATTACTTTACTATTCACTGAAAAAAAAAGAGGAAAAAAGAAGACTAGTTACATAAACAAAATAAGCCCTAATATGACCAATAAATGATTTTGTTTTGGAATAAAACCTCCCATTTCACTTGGCTCCCTTTCAATTTTAAATATTATATCTATCTCCCTTATTTTGAATTTCAATGTAACAATGTCTGCAAATACCCATAAAAATTTTTTTTTTAAATGTAAATGGATGATTTTAATTCCAAACATCACACTTGTATTCTCTTTTTCCGTACTATCCAACCCGTCCCTTCTCTTGTGCGAAACATTAACTAACCCTTCTTAATATGTGTAAAAAAAAAAAAAAGTAGCTCTATATTATATTTACGGATGGAGAGTACTTCTCCTGACAGAAAACAGAATACTATCATTCATGAAGTTTTGTTAGTTAATGATATGCTTCTGCAGGATTTTCTAAGGATAGGTTAGTGGCTTGTTGTGGAGGAGGTGGGCCGTACAATTTTAACAATTCGGCAAGATGTGGTCATACTGGATCCACAACTTGTACAAGTCCTTCTGCTCATGCAAATTGGGATGGTATCCATCTAACGGAAGCAGCATATCGTTATGTCGCTATGGGCTTGATCAATGGGCCCTTTTCTTCTCCTAGTCTCTCTTGTCCTCCCATTAAGAAAATCTAAATATTTCCTCTCAAACCTGCTTCTTGTCTCTTTTTTTTTTTTCACTTAATTATATTAGGAATGATGATTTGGTTGTATGTTTCAAATGTAAAAGTTGGACATGATCATAATTTTATTCAATGAGTGCATAATAATGTGAATTTGGATTTTAAGCCTTCATATTTTGTACACAACTAAAATCAAATTAGCAGAGTTTATCACACCTTTGAATGTTTCTTTTTTTTTTTTTGGGTATTACGTACTTATTTTATACTACATCTTTATTTCTGATGCTTTAGCACTTTACATCTTATGAATTTTTTTATTTTATTGCAAATTTGTATTGTTATTTACGTAGACATAATTTTTGTCTTATTTATCAGTGACTAGAAAGTTGCAAAACTTTGTTTCAAAGGTGATGCTTCACAAATTATACAAATTTTAAGAATTTTTACCCGGGAATCTGTATATAGAGTTCATCCTTGAGAAACATAAGGCTTTATATATATATATATATATATATATATATATACATGTATATGTGTGTGTGTAATAAAGAAGCTACAATATAAGGCTTAGTTTATAGCAAATTTTTAGCCTAATTTCATTGAATTGAAGTGACTGGGTTTAGTTTGCATATGCTACCACAAAAGGCCCACTATCAGTTTCGTTCAATCACAATGTACAACCACCACGCCATCCATATGTAAAATCTTCTGTTCTAAGTGGTGCATCTCTTCTATTAATCGCTACTCTAAAAATTTATACTTTTAAATTTCCTAGATGGGATGGGACATATCTGCTGCTCGTATTATATATATTAACTTTCACCTAACTCATTACTAAAAATAATGCCAAGGATTAAAATTCAAAACTGAAGGGTTTGGTATAGTCTAAAAGGAGTTGAATTGTCTTGGTTCTAAACGGATCTTTTGTTCCACTCTTGTAGAAATGTTTAGTAAATCCAGCTCGAAAGTAGGAGGAGGTCATAGAATGGACATAGACATTAAATTGGGTGCACGTATAGTTGTCGTTTACTTTGTGGCTACTTGCTTTGTGCAATTTACATTCGTTAGAGCTATTAATTTATATTGCTGTAAAAATATGCTTTGCTTGTTGGGATCGATAATACAGCATAAAGCATGATACATATTGATTGATTTCATCATGTATACAGCATACTCCTCTCTCTGATGGAATGATCGTTCAATCGATCAAGGCTAAATTATTGAACTGACTACATTTGGATGTTGTTACACAAAAGTTTAATTAATCTAATTCACCTTGCCCCTCAGTGTGCTCTAAAGGCCTACGATAACAAATTAATATAAACTCCCAATTACATATATATATATATATATATATATATATATCTCTCTCTCTCTCTCTCTCTCTCTCTCTAAACCAGACGTATCTATATTGTTTTGACGTTAAGCTTAATCAGTTAGAGCTTTTTCAGTTCTTTTTTTTTTCTTCGGTGAAAAATAAGCTTACTTAGACCTCACGAATATTTAACAATTTTTATTTCGTGATCAGTGATAGAGCCAAGATCTTTATTCAGAGGGGTGTGATAGTATTAATCTAGGTTTATAAGGTGTTGGTTTGCAAATTTCTAGAATAATTAAATATTTGTTATAGTAAACCAAGGCTATGGTTTGAGATTCATTATTTTTCAGGTCATCCAATGATATTAAATTTTGCTTAAGAACATAAGATGTTTGTTCTAATTAACATATATAGTAGGCAAATAATTCATACATAATTGAATTGTCGAATGAATGTTTGGTTGGCTTGTAATTTATATAAAAAGGACATGTAAGAAAAGTTATGTATTAAATAAATAACATTTGCTCTTAGAATAAGGCAAATTACATTTAATACAAAGAGAAAAAAAATAGCATCGTGTAATATATTTTAGTTCAAGATTCACCATTGTGGAAATAGTGAATACAATTGTAAAAAATTTCAACACTTTTGGGGAGTAATTGTGAGTTTAAAGAGAATTCTATTAAAATTCTGAGGGGCAAAAGTAGGACAATACTAAAATTTGAAATTTTTATTGGTTATTTTAAAGTTTAAAAAAATTGAATTCCCCCCCCCCTCCCGCTGCTAAATGCGGTTTGTTTTGTTATAAATAATACATCATGGGGTTTGTTTTGTTATAAATATTAAAATGCAATTTCCAGATTTTATTGGATGTTTGTGATTTTATTCATAAACCGAACCTGAACATTTAAGAAAAGAATATTTAGGGGATGAAAATAGGCCATAAGTAAGCCAAGTAAAATCTTTAAACTTGCACATTGTGTATGTCGTTGTGAATAGTTTAACACAAAAAACACGGCGAAAACCTTTGGTCCATTTGCTAAATTTGCTGATTTATTAAAAATTCAAACCGTAAGAATCAGAAAACGTTGCTCCATAATTCTAACATTACTATTACGTACGGGCCACACGAATAGTAAATGAGTAAAGCGTCCCAGTTACGATGATGCACAAGCTATTTACATTGTGTTACAACTCGTTAAAAGGCTCTTACATTATTCAGGAACGGTTGCACCCCTTCCCTCATAGCAGTTTTCAGTATCTTTCCTTGTTGAAGTGCATTCTACCCACATTTTTTGGGAAAATTTTCTTGTTAACATTAGTATTGCTTCCTTTGTCTTGATTCATTGAAATATACGATTTTGGTAAGATATTTGAGATGCAAATTAAGATAGGGCAAATTTCACTTTATCCCCTGTGGTTCAGCATTTTTTTACATAATTCCCCTATGGTTTCAAAAGCTATATATAACCCCCTCATGGTTTGAATTAAAGTGTCAAAGTGACGGAAATGATCATTCGTAACGGAGTCATCTAAAATGTCAAAAATACCCTTATGTAAAGTTGAAAATTATTTATTAACCAAGGGGGGTTATGTGTATATTTTGAAAATCATAAGGAGGTTATATGGTAAAGTATTAAACCATAAAGGGGTTATATGATAAAATAAAAAAATCATACCGGGTTAGTGTATCATGTATTTATAAGAGTAATTTAGACATTTTTAGAAGTTCCGTTACAAATGACTATTTCCATCACTTTGACACTTTAATCCAAATAATGAAGGAGTTATGTATAGCTTTTGAAACCATAAGAGGGTTATGTAGAAAAAATGCTAAATCACAGGGGGTAAAATGTAATTTGCCCATTAAGATAAAAGAGTGTCGTTGTCATTGAGTTGGCAAAAGGGGTGAGCATACATCTTATGCTAACTGTATATATTGGCAACTTGATTAATCGAATCGAGTTTGGTAACCAATTATGGTATGCTGCACCGATGAGGGAGCTGTGAGTCTCCATTCCTAGGGAGACAACTTTACTCTCATACAGAGCTGGGGAGAGTTGTTAATTCCTAATCACATTACACAGCTACTAGAATAGTTGAGACTTGGGAAAGCAATAACCGGGAAAGAAACCATCGAACACAGATATGAGATGGTCACACACTGCAATTTACCTTCTTCTAGGCACCTTATAAGTCGCAGCCTGTCAGCAAGTTCCATTCCTGAATCCACATTCGATGAAGGTAGCTTCGTTTTTAATTTGGCTTTCTGATGGCTTAACCTGGATTTTGCATTCAAGCAAAGAAATTTTATGCATTTGCTTTACTTTTACTCGGTCTTTAAGAAGTGATGATGAAGCATTGAATCTTTACCTTTTGATAATTCACTTGGAGAGAATTGAACTTTGATATTTCTGAGTTCGTTTAGTGCATCTTTTATGTCAATCCTCTGCTCTGGTGATTCCACAGTGCATGTGACCGCCATTTCCATGACTTTGAAGATACATTGGACGATTGTTGTTGAATTTTCATCCGGGGGAGTTATCAAGTTGTGGTCAACTAGATCCAGTTCTGGATTTTGCAGCAAATGCCTCACCCAGTCCTTCAATCCACAATCTTCTGTGAACATTTCATCAGTCGGCTTCTTTCTTGAAAATGTTTCCATCAACAGAATGCCAAAGCTATAGACATCACACTTTCTCGACACTTTACCTTCAGATCCATACTCTAGTAGAAATGATAATATCAACATTATTATCCTACTCGTTGAGAAAGGTAACATGAGATAAACACGAGAAAATTCACACAACGGGGTTATGAATACAGCACATATGCATCAGTTGGGTATCGATTAGGATTAGAAACTTAAGTCACCTGGTGCTATGTAGCCAATTGTTGCAAGTGTATTTGTTATTGCTTTACTTTCACCTCCACTAAGTAACTTTGCAATGCCAAAGTCACCCACGTGACCGGTCAGGTCTTGATCCAGAAGAACATTGCTGGGCTTTAGATCACAGTGGACGATAGGTGATGAGTAGCCATGGTGGAGATAATCCAATGCAGTTGCTGCATCTATCATTATGTTCAGCCTTTGCAGGAAATCCAAGAAATAGTTGTGAGAGTACAACCACCTTTCAAGGCTTCCATTAGGCATGTACTCCAAGACTAAAGCTCTAAAATCGTGGTTAGAACAACTGCTAATGACTTTCACCAGATTTCGATGGCGAATATTCCGCAGGACTTCACATTCTGCATCGAAGCTTTTGAATGCTCCTTCCACCTGCAAATTGAAAACTTTTATTGCCAGAATACTTCCATCGCTAAGGACCCCCTTGTAAACTGAACCATAGCTCCCACTTGCAATCAAGTTGCTTTCACCAAAATCATTAGTTGCATGTACAAGGTCGTAGTACGAGATTCTTTCATGGGTGGTTGGAGGGAGTGGATTTGTTTGAGTGCGATTTATGCTTCTACGCTGTGCCATGATGAGCACTAACACGAATATACTTACTGCAATAACTGTCAATGCAATTTGTAACAAGATGTATGCGACTTTGGGGAACTTTTTCGTCCTGGATGCTTTAGGAGAATTGTTTGGGCAAGGAGGGAGTCGCAGTTGAGGAGGACCACCGCAAAATGCTTCATTTGACATAAATGATTCCCTCGTGAAATTGAGGAAAGAACCATTTGCCGGAACTTTCCCATGCAGGCGGTTGAATGACACATTAAAGTAATTCAACTCCAAGAGTGATACTAACGATGTTGGAATTTCTCCAGTGAGATTGATTTGAGATAGATCTAATGATTCCAGGTTCACCATCTTTCCTACTCTCTCTGGAATAGACCCTTGTAATTCATTATGTGCCAATGAGAAGTCAATCAAGTTCTGCAGATTTCCAACCGTTGTGGGGATATTTCCAGCAAACTTATTCCGCGACATGTCTATGGATATTGCAGCCTTCAAATTTCCAATTTCTTGAGGTAAATAACCACCTAAAGCATTCGAGTGCACATCTAGGTACAGCAGATCTTTTAAGTTCCCGAGGCTGGCAGGCATGGTGGAATTTAATATGTTGGAGCTCAAATAAAGCTTTCTCAGAGAAGTCATATTTCCAAAGCAATCTGGAAGTTGACCCGAGAATTTATTTTCATCAAGTTTAACAGAGTTAAAACTCCTGAACTTGCAAAGATAAGGTGGAAGGGACCCTAAAATCCTATTATTTTGAAGTTCTAACGCTTCAAGGTTCGATAATCCTTCGAATGCCAATGGAAATTGCCCGGTGAGGTAATTGCTGCTAAGATCCAGTTCCACCAGCCCACTCAGATTACCAATTTCAGGTGGAATGCTACCCTCTAGTTCACAAGTACTAGTTATGAACTTTTCAAGAGAATTGGAAAAATTGGCTATGGTATGGGGAAGAATAACCTTTTATAGGATTATGTGACAATATCATAACTCTTAAACTTTCACAATTCACAAAGATGAGATAATGCTCATCTCTTGTAGGTACCCTGTGGTTAATTGGTTGGATCCAACATTAAGAGTTTCAAGGACATTCAAGCTGCCGAGTGATCTAGGAATTGAACCAGTGAAATGGTTGAGGCTGAGTTCCAAAATAACTAGCTTAGTCATATTTGAGATGGAATCAGGAATTACTCAGTTAAATGATTATGTGCAACATTTAGTGTTTCTAGATTAGGTAGAATATGGCCGATACTAGGTGGAAGACTTCCTGAAAGGTTATTCAGAGTCAATCTAATGTATGTCATGGCTGAGATGTTGTACACGGTTAGTGGAATTTGTCCATGCAAGGCATTACTATTCAAGTCTAATATATTCATTTTCTGAAGATTGCCAGTTTCTTCCGGTATTGGACCTGCCAAAAATTCAGAATGCACAGAAACATGCTTTAGAATGATGGATGTTGCAGCCAGACTGATTAAGTTTTAATGATAACGCTGAGACCTTTTGGGGCGATTGGTCATTTGGTCGAACCAAACTCCCAAGTAGGATAATTAGGCAAAGTCTGATTGTTTAGACCTATACCCGGAATTGTGTGGCAATAAAAATTTGGTCTAAATTTGTGGATGATCCATATGAGGTGTTGCAATTTATGCAATTATAATTTCCGAAGCTCCATGCATTAAAGATATATGTTTCATATACTGTTGGTGTAAAGTTTTATTAATACCAAAAAGTTTGGATGCATGAAATATGTATAAGAAGAGAATTTGAAATTCGAGTAGAGGTTGTCTGTTATGCATTTCAACATGAATAGTAAAGAAGAACTAATCCTTCGTTCAGTGTTTTTTATTTGAGAAAATAAAAAACAAAAACAAAGATACAGAAGCCAGAATGGAATAGAAATTAAAAGAAGAACCATCTTCCCTTTTTTTTTTAAGGGGCAATTATCAGACTGATTGTTTCTGAAATAGGGGTAAGAGTGGCTAGAAGGCCGATTTCAAGGAACCGCTTGAAAAGATTTACGATCATTATTGGTCAAAATTCGAATTTTGCAAAAAAAAAAAATATTGTGATTACTTTTGCTCTGCTTTGGATCTGTCCCTTACTATTTTTTTGTGCATAGGTTGTTTTTGTTTTGTTATAGCTTCTCATTACTTTTTCATGTAATTTCTAGTTGTGCATAGGTTGTGAACTTCTCTTGACAGTGCTTCATTGATGATCAATAAAAAGAAATGAGCTTACCAAAAAATAAAATAAATTGTACCAAATAAATAAATAAATAGTATGTTTCTTTATTAATAAAAATGATAGCCACATGTACTTGTTATCTTTTTTTTATCATTATTTAAAACTCTTTGCTAGTGATTGTTAGTGTCTTCAAAAGAAAGCCAATGCCCAAGCAGAATTTCCGAATTTAGTATAGTTAAATCACCAAACTTGAAAAACAGAGCGTATTACAATGTCACTTTCTTATAGTTAAATCACCTTTATTGATTTTTTTGGCTGAACAGGATTAATTTCCCAAGATAAATTTCTCTAAAACGTTTAAGGAGTCTTCCAATAGATGTCTAACAGGCACTTGTTAATACACCTAAATTACTGTATAGATATATAGTCACATTTGTTGCACTCCTTAAATTAAATTGTGATACTGTCCCATATATACAAATATTTATTTTCAAGAAACTAATACTTGAGCACCCTCATATCAAGGGTCGAATGGACACTGTAAACCCAACCCTAGTTAGTTGAATCAATTGTTTTTTATTTAGTACTTTAATCATATACCCTTTTATCATGACAAGATTACTCATATTTACCCCATTCAAACTAATGGCTCACAGACTAGATCATTATGGAGCTTATCATTCTAATATTAGATTACTCATATTTATTGATAAAAATACACATTAAATATGGTTGCTAGCTTAAATTCATAAATAGGCTACTCATTTGAAAAGGATATAGATCTATAGTTTGAAATATAGTTATTAAATCCAATCCGACCTAGTAGTTCAACCGGTCAAACCGGTAAACTAGCCACCCAGGGTAGGTTCCTAATCTGATCGTTTGAATAAATGAACCGTTAAAAAGTCAATACCCATTGATTCAACCAGAAGAACCGAAAACCAGCCTGAGTTTTGAGCATTCCAGCTCGCACTTGGAGCAAAATTTGAGACACATGTGCTACTAATACAATTCAAACTTAAGACCTCTCACACAACTTCATGCCCTTTGACTAGTGGCACAAACACTTTTATGTTGTACATTAAAGGCTATAATATCTTATAGGGTAAATTCCACTTTACCCCCCTGTGGTTTAGCATTTTTTTACATAACCCCCCTATGGTTTCAAAAGCTATACATAACCCCCTCATGGTTTGGATTAAAGTGTCAAAGTAACAGAAATAGTCACTCGTAACGGAACTTCTAAAAATGTCGAAATTACCCTTATAAATACATGACACATTAACCCCCTATGATTTTTATATTTTACCATATAACCCCCTTATGGTTTAATACTTTACCATATAACCCCTTATGCTTTTCAAAATATACACATAACCCCCCTTGGTTAATACATAAATTTCAACCTTACATAAGGGTATTTTTGACATTTTAGGTGACGCCGTTACGAGTGACCATTTCCGTTACTTTGACACTTTAATCCAAACCATGAGGGGGTTATGTATAGCTTTTGAAACCACAGGGGGGTTATGTGAAAAAACGCTAAACCACAGGGGGTAAAGTGGAGTTTGCCCTATCTTATATTTGATTCCCTTTCCCCAGAGCCTTCAATCTTTCCTTTTTCTTCTCCTTAAACACTCCTCAAATAAGCCTTTTCTCAAATTTTTAGTACTCTTATACATCATCCTAAAAGTAAGGAAATAAATTATCAAATGATATATTACCAAAACCTATTCCACTTAAACACTTCTCAAATAAGCCTTTCCTTGAATCTTTAGTACTCTCATACTTTATCCTAAAACTTAGAAAATAAATTATTGAAATGATATCTTAACATAATTCATCCCTAACATAGTAATTACTCTTATAAAATCTTGTAATTGAGAGCAAAACAAAAAATGCTTAAAAACAAGATATTATACTTTAAAGTTAGTTATGATTCCTAATATCAAAATGATATCTTACCATAGTTCATCCCCAATATAATAATTACTCACATAAAATCTTGTGATTGAGAGCAAAAAACTACATAAAAACAAGATATTATACTTCAAAGTTGGTTTTGATTCCTAATTAAATTTATCTTGTCTCCTGTCGGTTCTTATTATGAAGCATGAATTTTATGTTTATGTTTGAAACAAGTTCAATGTAGCTGATAATTCAAACTTTGAATCTTTAAACATGCAAGATTTAACTGGATTGGTTTTATATTTTTAAGAACTTGAATTCCTGTAATTTAATTTATATATTTATTTATTATATTTTGAGACCCAGCAGTTGAACCACTGAATCACGGTTGAACCACCAACCCACTAAACCATTCCTCTTACAGGGTTCATGACTGGGTTGGTCATAATAAATTTGGTTTGAAAAGAATACGAAAAAAAAAAGTAAACCTTTCTTTACGACATAGAAAAATATAATTTTCTTTGGGACTTGCTCTTATAACTCCCAGTTCCTTCAAATTCTACTAGAAAAACATCAGAACTTACCTGTAAGGTCACATCCGTCAATAACTAACAACTCCAAATTCTGAAGCTTACCAATCTCAGCTGGAATTCCACCTGCAATAGTATTGTGCATAAAAATCAAATCGCCAGTCAATTTCTTTTTTTGCAAAATGATAGGACATCAGTTTTTAAAGGAAAAATTCCACTTTACCCCCTGTGGTTTAACATTTTTCTGCATAATTCCCTTATGGTTTCAAAAACTATACATGACCCCCTCATGGTTTAGATCAAAATGTCAAAGTAACGGAAATGATCATTTTTAACGGAGTCACCTAAATTATCAAAAATACTCTTATATAAAGTTAAAAAATTTTTATTAACCAAGGGGGATTATGTGTATATTTTGAAAACCATAAAGGGGTTATATGATAAAGTATTAAACCATAAGGGATTTATATAGTAAAATATAAAAATTATACGGGATTAATGTGTCATATATTTATAAGGTAATTTCGACATTTTTAGAAGTTCCGTTATAAATGATTATTTCCGTTACTTTGACACTTTAATCAAAACCATGAGGGGATTATGTATAGATTTTGAAACTATAAGGGGATTATGTAAAAAATGCTAAATCACAGGGGAATAAAATATAATTTGCCCTTTTTTAAAACCATTATACGGAGGAAAACGAATAGTCAAATGTAATAGATCCAGTTTCATGAGGACAAAGTGCAAATTACCCTATAAATAAATCATGAAATATGGTTTTAGACTGAAGACAACAAAGGAAAAGTAAAATTACCTGCGAAGTTGTTCTGTCCCAAACTCAAAACCTTCAGCATGGTTAAGTTCCCAATTTCTCTTGGTAGCGTTCCGCTTAAAACATTGCTGCTCAATGACAGTTCTCGAAGTTCCGAGCAATTGTCGAACCGTGACAATATTTGACCTGATAATTTGTTAGATGATAGGTAAAACTCTTGAAGATTTGAAAGCTCAGAGCAAAGGTTCACTGGAAGGTCGCCAGTTAGCGTGTTATTTGTCAAATTAACTATTTGCAAGGACGAGATGTTGAAAAGTGTCAGTGGTATAAACCCTGTAAGCTGGTTATTTGCCATTCTTAAGATCTTCAAGTTGCCAAGATTTCCAATTTCTCGGGGAATATTTCCTTGAACTTGGTTGAACATGATGCTTATGGACTCCAACTTTGATGCATTAAATAGGGAAATCGGAATGCCACCTACGAAGCTGTTACTTGATAAATCCAGGACTCGAAGATTAGGCAGAGAGCCAAACCACGGAGGAACCTCCCCACCAAAATTGTTGTTGGCAAGACTAATATATCTGAGCCTGCGTAAATGTACCATTCCTTCTTCCATGGGCAAATTTCCATGGAAATTGTTGCCACTGAGGTCAATGGAACTGAGAAAAGAGAGGTTTCCTATGTCTGGAGGGATGCTACCTTGAAGGCCTAAATAAGAGAGATTCAAGGAGACAACTCTATGGTGGCGAGAGAAGCAGGTCACTCCAAACCAGTTGCACACTGAGACATTTGCAGTCCAATTTGTCCTCAGTAAATTCTTAGAATCGAACAGCTGGGATTTTAAGGCAAACAATGCTGATTGATCTGTTTGGATGCTACGTTTGATGAGGGCTATCGAAACAGTAGGAAGACTTAGCAGCAATGCAAGATGAAAAAGGACGGTAATTATATCCATGAGGAAAAGGGAGGGGGAGTTGCAGCGGAAACCAGTAAAGACGAGGTTTGTGAAACTGAAGATGAAACAAGCAGGCAAGATGACTCACTATTTATAGTTTTTGAGTCTCTTTGTCTAGGAAACGGGGCTCACAAGCTCTATCCAATTAATTTTGGTGTAAATTCGCATAGTTTGAGTATGAATTAGAATTTGTAAACTCATATCATAATATAAATTCATAATTATATTGATAGGTTGCAATTTTATCATTTATTTTATTATTAATTCTCCCTATTACTTGACCTGATGTGAATTAATTATTAGATTCTACTCACTTTTCGTAATTTATATTTATTTCAGGGAGTAGAACAAAAATATCACAATAAAAGCCAATTTGACAGTTATCGGGAAAGAGTTCACATAACAAACAATCGAGGGTATTTTTGGAATAAGGAGATACAAGTCTTTGTTGGTAATTCGCACGGGGCAGCATTAAAAGGAGGAACGCAGGGCTGAAGCAAGGGGTCTTCTTCTTCCCCATGAGAGGGCCGCCGCACAAGACCAGAGAGTAGCAATAGGCCATTAGGATAGGAACTATTAGATTGCAGAGAACAAGCACTTTCTTTTTCTAGCTTCACTTTGACTTTTCTTCCTAGCTTTCCATTGCTTTTCTCCACGCATGTTAGGAGGAAGCAATTTTTAGTTTTAGCGTTTGACTTTTCCATTTCGTCTTCTTGTGGTTCTCTAGTCCGTATGTGAAGACCAAGTGAAAACGTTGAATTCCTTCCTGTAGCTTGTCTTCGTGTTATTTCCTTTTTACCGATTTTTTGGAGAAAAAACAATGAAAAAAGCTTGGAACAATTATTTGCATGGTTGTTCTCCATTAATGGAGGACTAACCTCCTACTTCTAGTCAATGGGACAACTGACGAATTGGCTCGGCAATTACTGTGAGATCTAAACCGCTTTTAATTGTTTCCTTCATTTATTGGTATTTATATGTTTCCTGCTTTTAATTGCTATAGCTCGTGTGAGTGATTGAATAGATGCGCAATATTTAATTATTCACGTAGGCTATTTTGCTAAATAGAGGTAATTGAATCCGTAATTGTTCGTTATCTCTATCTTAGTAGCAACTGGCGTAATTGGATTTATGTCAGGGGAGCATACGATCTAATTTAAACAAACCCTCGTAGCGTGTTTGTTAGTTAGGATTGGGCCTTTCTAATTATTAATGCAATCTAGAAATTAAATCCTACGGTCGTACCTAGGGTTGTTTTTGGGTTAGAGAAATAGCTAACGGTCGTACCTTAGCTATCGATAAATTAAGGAAGGGCTGGTTGTTTAGCGCGTGCGAGACAACTATAACCAATCTATTAATATTTGTTGGAATTATCTGTGAATCGATGATCAGTTGCATGAACCATTTCTGAAGTGTACCCTTGGCTAGAATTTCTCTTAGTTATTCCTTTTAATTAATTATTTTCTGCATTTAGTTTGTTTAGTTGGCATTTGACACCAAAAACCCCCATTAATCTTGATTTGAAAAGAAACAAATTATCTTGCTAGTCCCTGAGAAGACGACCCTGCTTACCATTGTCTACTAGTTAGGGAATTCAGTTAAATAATTTATTCAGGTATATCGGATTAAGCAAACTCTTCGGGAACAGGGTGAATCAAGTAACCCATTGCACACCTAGAGTCCCTGCTCCAGTACTCGAATTGATTATTGACTGTTTTAAGTGGTAGTTAGGTTTTATTTATTATTATTGCACAGGTTCGGCACCTGTCATATATCAAAACTGTAAAAATTTGTATTCAATGTAATAAAAAAATAAAAAAGCATACGAATGGATTTGGACTAAGATACCACTCAACTATTGAGACCCCGAGTCCCTTTGTCTAAAATCAGTGGCTGTTAAAGATGGTCCAATGTGCAAGAAATTTGAGGAGTAAACTATTTTCATTTACTAAAACAAAGGATTTCTACACTGATCAGTGATCAGATACTTGCACAGGGAAATTTCGGTGATAAAAACAGATTGTTAATTATTCAAGTAGTAACTTTCACCAATTTGTGGGGAAGAGCCGCATTCCAACTTTCTAAACACGTAAATGGCTGGAAGTAATAAGGGGCCTCGAGTCAGCCATTATATGTTGAAAATATATTATATTGCAATTTTTCGACATTTGTGGAGTTAGACAAATGACCAAATTTATGGTATTAGGACAAGGTCAGGCATGGAGGCAGGAGGACAAACAGGGCTGCCCCCTGTTCCCAACTTTTGAGAAATTTAAATTAGGATTTTTCTTAATAACACTTTGCCTCCCTTGGTAGGGGGTAAACACAATTTGTCCCCTCAACTGAAACAATATATACTTTGCTCCTCTAGAAAAAGTTAATCATTAGTTTTAGCAACACCACCGTTATGAATATTGATGCAATGATTAAATTGCCCATGTTATAATGATAAATGGGCAACAATGCCTTTCTGTTATTCAAGTAGTACCAGCTTAAGTTTTGGAGTTATATATATCTTTTAAAACTATAGGGGGGTTATATGAAAATTAGCTATACCACAGGGGATATAGTGTAATTTGGCCAATTTCAAAACTTAAGTTTATGTTTAAATTTTATATTAAAATAATTTCATATCATAATAGATTTTGAATTTATGTTTAAATATCATTGACGTACTATTGTCTTTGATGCATAAATGTTAATAAAGTGCTTCCAAATATTTGTTAATAAAATTTTGCCTAGAAGTTCTTATTAATGTCAAATTTATTGATTTCTTACGTAACTCATTTTTGGAAACCTCTTCACATGAAATATCTGCCCTTAGTTTGCTCAAAAACTACCTCCTTTTTACTCACTAGTCCACATTACTAGAAAAATAGGTTCTATTAACACACTTAATAAGGTATTTCTCTGCAAACACAACAATGGAACGTTAGAGTGAACACATCAAGAGACTGATTGCAGCAAATAGGAAGATTTAGAGCAATATTTTGCAACACAAACAGAGAAAAATATTTTAAATGGCACTCCTGTTATTTTGTTTTTATATATTTTACCTTTAGGAGGGGTTTTTTTTTTTTTTTTTTCTTTTCCCAGCCTTTTGCTACATAAAGAGTAAGAAAACTTTGAGGGTAACATCATCATGTCAACCATTCTGATTGCGACATCTGGTATATCATATGGATAGGGGGAGGTAAGTGAGATTTTTTAAATTTTGAAAAGTCTAGATGATATTAGAATAAATCTCAAGGGAGATTTCAGAAATTAATCTTACATTCAAAGAGGAGAAAGAACTATCTTTTTTTAGCAAAAACTCAGGGGGAGAGGGGTCAAGGAAATCTAATGAAATTTTTTAGGGGGCATGGCGAAGAAATTAATGTCAAAATTCTAAAAGTTATATATTATAAAATTTAATTTTCTCAAACCTTAGGGGTGTTGGGGCGGCAGCTCCTGTTGTTCCCTGCCGCCGACCGTGGCAATGGCCTTATATCGTAGTATTACAATTTGGTCATCGCTCTAATTTCAAAAGTATCGGAAAGTTAGATGTTATGCTTATTTTAAGAGGAAATGTTGACTTGATGGCCCCACCCCCATGCCCGGGTCAACTTTCAAGAATCCACGTTTTAAGAAAGTCGAAAGTTTGACACTTCACAAAATCTTACGGAAAGCTACAAGAAGTATACTTCAAAACATGTACTTGTACAAATTTTTTATTGATGAAGTCGCCTATTTTTAAATTGAATTTAAACTTCAAATTTTGCATATATGATATCCATCTATAGTCGCTAGTATATAAATTGTCGATGTATGCAGGATTAATTTTAACGTCGTTAGATATTAAATAGAAAAATTGCTAAAACCACTAAAATTTACGAATTTGTATTTACCACCGGCATTTGCAAGCGCAACTGAAAATCTGATTAGTGTATAAATCCATTATTTTAGTGAATGAAATCTTTTGCTTCTCATATATTTCTTTTGACGTTGGACCATCTTTAGCAGCGCCAGAGTATAGACGAAGTGGCTCCAAAACTACAAATAGTATTGAGGCAGCTGGCTTGTTTGTTCAAGTCTTCGGTTTCACAAACCTTTTCATACTCATTTGCTTCTCAAACTCAAATGTTCACTTCTTAAGGTCATATTTTGGTGTTAAATTGGTTCGCTTCTCAATTTTTTTTTTTTTTTTTTTCACGTTGGACCATTCAATGAGGCTCCAACACTACATATACTACGGCATCTGGCCTGTTTGTTTCGTCATCAGAGTCAAGAACCTCGTCTTTGCTTATTTGCCCTGCAACTTTTCACCTTTTCTCATGGATATTTCTGTCTTCCTTTTTCATCTTGTACTGCTGCTAGGTCTTCCTACTGCTTCGATAGCCCACATCAAACGCACCATCCAAACAGATCAATCAGCATTGTTTGCCTTAAAATCCCAACTGTTCCATTCTTCGAACTTACTGAGGAAAAATTGGACTGCAAATGTATCAGTGTGCAACTGGATTGGAGTGACATGCTCCTCTCGCCACCATAGAGTTGTCTCCTTGAATCTCTCTTACTTAGGCCTTCAAGGTAGCATCCCTCCAGAGATAGGAAACCTCTCTTTTGTCAATTCTATTGACCTCAGTGGCAACAATTTCCAGGGAAATTTGCCCATGCTGGTGCACTTACGCAGGCTTAAATATATTAGTCTTGCCAACAACAATTTTGGGGGAGAGGTTCCTTCGGGGTTCGGTTCTCTGCCTAACCTTCAAGCCCTGGATTTGTCAAATAACAGCTTCACAGGTGCCATTCCGACTTCCCTATTCAATGCATCAAAGTTGGAGTCCATAAGTTTCATGTCCAATCAATTGCAAGGAAATATTCCCCAAGAAATCGGTAATCTAGGAAACTTGAAAGTCTTAAGCATGGCAAATAACCAGCTTACAGGGCTTATACCACTAACACTTTTCAACATCTCGTCCCTGCAAATAGTCAATTTGAGAAATAACACGTTATCTGGCGACCTTCCGGTGAACTTGTGCTCTAAGCTTTCAAGACTGCATGGATATTACCTAGCCTATAACACATTATCAGGCCAAATTCTGTCGCGGTTTGACAACTGCTCAGAACTGGAAGAACTGTCGTTGAACGACAATGACTTGAATGGAACACTACCAAGAGAGATTGGAAACTTAACCATGCTAAAGCTTTTGAGTTTGGGTCAGAACAAATTCGCAGGTAACCTTTTTTTTTTTTTCCCTTTTGTTTTCTTGAGTCTGAGCGTATATGTTTGGATTTATCTATTAGGTGACTTTGATTTTGTGCTCATCAGGTTTCCATATAGTATTAATTATGCCCTCCAAAATTACCTCACAATTTTTTTTATTTGCTCAAACAAATATATCATTGCTATTACTTCATTTTGTTAGGTTCATGAAATTTTGATCGAAAGAAAAGCATTTACATTTCAAAATTCAAAAGAAGCAGAGAGAGAGGGACAATAAAAAAAAAAAAAAAAAAAAAAACATCCATCATTGCCTTTGGATATTTCAGTTTATTCATTTTGTCATGCACTCACATACACACGAATATCTTTTACATTAGCACTCTCCTAAAATGGTTTGTGTAGGAAAATAATTTAACCAAGTTTTATGGTACTCCTCTGTCCCATATATTTAGTCATGTTTGGGTATATGTGCTTTTTATGCCTAGTACACTCTACCGCAAAGTTTTTTTTATTTCACTTTTATCCTTAATCATGTGCTGATCAAGGTAAGAAGTAGAAAGTAATTCCATTTTATTTACCTTTATGCATCAGTAATGAAGGACATATGGTGAATTTTAGAGTATAAAGTAGTTGGAAATATCAAACATGACAAATATTTTGGAATAGCAAAAAAAAAGTATGATACTTTCAATGGGACTGAGAAAGTATTTATTTATTTTATTCAATTGGTGCCATGTGTCATGATCTGTGCAGTTAGTAGTTAAAAGTATTAGTTGCATAGGGCTTATTAGTTAGGAGGAAAGATTCATATATAAGTTTGCAGCCTCGTTGGCTTTTCTTTCGTTTTGTAAGAGTACTATAGCCGCAGCCTCGTTTGATTAATACAAGAAATTCCTTTGCTTCCTATATCAAATTCTTGTGATTGTTCCTGCAGATTCATGGTTGTTCATCGATTTGGTTCCATCAGTTTGTAGTCGATAAAATTTTGATGATGTAGATAAATTTTATATATAGTAGCCTTCTCTAAAGAAAAGAAAAGGAAAATGTCAAGATCAAGTTATGTAACTTGGAACTAATTACCAAAAAAAAAAAAAAAACAATAGACCCTACATTTTTAAAATTAACCTAAATGAAATTAACCATAGTGTATCTAAGGCCATGCATTAATGGAAAAGGAGGCAAAAATCTTTTCGCTCTTTGGAAGTCAATCTCTACAGTTCTTTCTATTCGTCGCAAGTAGCAAACTTGGATCAATTCGTTTCCAAGATTTTAAATGCTGTCATATTTTCTTTCCTTAGAAACTGAAAAATGTCCGTGATGTTATATGGCTGGCGATTTAATTTTTGTGCACAATACCATTGCAGGTGGAATTCCAGCGGAGATTGGTAATCTCCAGAATTTGGAGTGTTTAGATATTGAAGGATGTGCCCTTTCTGGTAAGCTCTACAATTAATTATTTTGTTTGTCCTAATTAAATAGTGAGAAATCTTGAGTGAGTTGGCAATTAATTATTTTGTGGTCATGGTTTAGCAATTAATAGTGAGAAATCTTGAGTAAGTCTAAACAATTGCTGAGTAGTTTAGAATTTAGAAACATATGAAACCTTTTTGTGGTTATGGTTTAGCTTCTCTTCTATATCTAATTAGAAGAATCATATTCTACTCTTGCTGCTTAAAGGTAAGGAGAATTTCAGCATCAGGATGCTAAAGCCTTTTTTTCTTTTTTCCGTTTTGCATTCTCAAATTTTGGCAGGTACAATACCGAAAGAAATTGGCAATCTTCAGAAATTGAATATGTTAAACTTTGCTCTTAACACCTTGAGTGGTCAAGTTCCAGTGACCATCTACAACATCTCAACTATGACATTCATTAGATTGACTGGCAATAAGCTTTCAGGAAGTCTTCCACATAGCATAGGCCATCTGCTGCCTAATTTAGAAACATTAAATGTGGCGCATAATTACCTAACTGGGGTGATTCCTGATTCTATCTCAAACATGACTAAGCTAGTTATTTTGGAACTCAGCATGAACCGTTTCACTGGTTCAATTCCTAGATCACTCGGCAGTTTGAATCTCCTTGAGACTCTTGATGTTGCAGGCTACTATTTAGCCACAGGTTCCCCCAAAGAGTTGAGCATTATTTCGTCTTTGGCGAATTGTAAAAGTTTAAGAGTTCTGATATTGGACGGAGTTTCTGTAAAAGGTACCATTCCCCCTACCATAGCCAATTTGTCGAATTCTCTTGAAGTATTCCTCGTTAGTACTTGTGAACTAGAGGGTAGCATTCCACCTGAAATTGGTAATTTAAGTAGGCTGACAGGAATGGATCTTAGCAGCAATCACTTCACGGGGCAACTTCCATTGGCATTCCAAGGGTTATCGAACATCCAAGCATTAGAACTTCAAAATAATAGGATTTCAGGGGCCATCTCACCTAATTTTTGCAATCTCAGGAGTTTAACTCTATTAGACCTGAGTCAAAATAAATTCTCAGGTCAACTTCCAGAATGCTTGGGAAATATGTCTTCTCTGGGAAAGCTTAATCTATCCTCCAACGGATTAAATTCCACCATGCCTGCCAGCGTAGGGAGCTTAAAAGATCTGCTGAACCTAGATGTACATTCCAATGCTTTTGGTGGTTTCATACCTCAAGAAATTGGAAATTTGTTGGCCGCAATATCCATAGACTTGTCATGGAATAAGTTTTCCGGAAATATCCCGACAACTGTTGGAAATCTGCAGAACTTGATTAACTTCTCATTGGCACATAATGAAATACAAGGATCTTTTCCTGAGATAGTAAGAAAGATGGTGAACTTGGAATCATTGGATCTATCTCAAAATAATCTCACTGGAGAGATTCCTGCATCATTGGTATCACTCTTGCAGTTGCAGCATTTTAATGTGTCATTCAACCACCTGCACGGAAAAATCCCAGAAAATGGTTCTTTCCTCAATTTCACAATTGAATCATTCATATCCAATGAAGGATTTTGCGGTGGTCCTGCTCACTTGAGACTCCTTCCTTGCCCAAACAATTCTCCTCAAGCATCCAGGACGAAAAGGTTCCCCAGATTTGCATACATCTTGTTACCAACTGCATTGACAGTTTTTGCAGTAATTATCTTCGAGTTAGTGCTCATCATGGCACAGCATAGAAGCAGAAATCGTGCTCAAACAAATCCACTCCCTCCAACCACACATGAAAGGATTTCATACTATGACCTTGTACATGCAACTAATGATTTTGGTGAAAACAACTTGATTGCAAGTGGGAGCTATGGTTCAGTTTACAAGGGGGTGCTTAGGGATGGGAGTATTCTGGCAATAAAAGTATTCAATTTGCAAGTAGAAGGAGCATTCAAAAGCTTCGATGCAGAATGTGAAGTCCTGCGGAATATTCGCCATCGAAATCTGGTAAAAGTCATCAGCAGTTGCTCTAACCATGATTTTAGAGCTTTAGTCTTGGAGTACATGCCAATGGAAGCCTTGAAAGGTGGTTGTATTCTCACAACTATTTCTTGGATTTCCTGCAAAGGCTGAACATAGTTATAGATGTAGCAACTGCACTGGATTATCTCCACCATGGCCATTCATCACCTATTGTCCACTGTGATCTGAAGCCCAGCAATGTTCTTCTGGATCAAGCCATGACCGGTCACGTGGGTGACTTTGGCATTGCAAAGTTACTTAGTGGAGGTGAAAGTAAAGCAATAACAAATACACTTGCAACAATTGGCTACATAGCACCAGGTGACTTAAGCTTCCAATCCTAGTCAATACAGCATAATGCATCAGTTTTAATACCCTAGTGTTAATTTTTTTTCTGGTGTTTATTTCCTTTCGCTTTTCTCAACAAGCAGGATACTAACTGTGATTATTATAATTTCTACTAGAGTATGGATCTGAGGGTAAGGTGTCGAGAAGTTGTGATGTCTATAGCTTTGGCATTCTGCTGATGGAAACATTTTCAAGGAAGAAGCCGACTGATGTAATGTTCACAGAGGATTGTGGATTGAAAGACTGGGTAAGGCATTTGCTGCAAAATCCAGAACTGGATCTAGTGGACCACAACTTGATAACTCCCTCAGATGCAAATTCAACAAAAATCGTACAATGTATCTTCAAAATCATGGAAATGGCGGTCACATGCACAGTGGAATCACCAGAGGAGAGGATTGACGTTACAGATGCTTTGAATGAACTCAAAAATATCAAACATGAATTTCTTTCCAAGTGAATTGTCAAAAGGTAAAGATTCCATGCTCCATCATCACTTCTTAAAGACCGAGTAAAAGTAAAGCAAATGCATAAAATTTCTTTGCTTGAGTGCAAAATCCAGTATAAGCCATCAGAAAACAAAATCAAAAGTGAAACTAACTTCATCGAATGTTGATTCAGGAATGAAACTTGCAGACAGGCTACGACTTAGAAGTTGTGTAGAAGAAGGCTTGCTTAGCATGATGCATTCGATAAATTTTCTTAACGGAATGGAATTTGTTTAAGGTAAATTTCAGTGTATGACCATCTCGTATCTGTGGTCATTGCTTTCCCAAGTTCCAACTGTGCTAATAGCTGTGCAATGTGATTCTTTAAAGAAACTTTGCTTTGAATGCAATTAGGAATTAACGACTCTCCCCAGCTCTCTATGTGAGTAAAGTAGTCTCCCTAGGAATGGAGATTCACAGCTCCATCATCAGTGGAGCAGATCATAATTACTTACCAAATTAAACTCCATTCCATTAATCAAGTTGCCGATCTATACAAATTAGTATAATATGTATATTCTTCTCTCACCCCTTTTGCCAACTCAATGACAACGATACTCTTTCATCTTAATTTGCACCTCAAATATCTTACCAAAATCTTACATTCGATGAATCAAGACTATGGAAGCTCATGTCCTAGTGTTAATAAGAAAATTTTCCCAAAAATTTAGGTAAAACATGCTTCAACAAGGAAAGACACTGGAAACTGCCACAAGGGAAAGGGGTGCAACCGTTCCTGAATAATGTAAAAGCTTTTCAACAAGTTGCAACACAATGTATATAGCTTGAACATCTTCATAACAAAGATGTTTCATTCGATTACTATTTATTGAGTCCATACATATAGTAATGCTAGAATTACATAGCATTTGTTGATCTTTACAATTCGAATTTTTGCCTTGTTGGTAAATTTAGGACCATGAATAGTTTCTGCCGGAATCTTTCAAACAGAAATGGAAATAACAGTCTAGTAAAAAAGTTATAAGAAAAAGCCCATCTCTCGGTGGAAAAATACTTGAGATTCCATTGCCACTTCTTGTATTGATCTCCATGCCACTATCTATTTTTATGCTACATCTGAATATATAGTGGTATATTCAACGTACATTACAATAGTTTTTTAAGTAACACTAGTAATAGTTCACGTGCTTTGCACGTGATTATAATATCTTAAAATATATTATTCTTTAGATGCTAAAAAATTTTTATGAAATTTTGATCACTAACATCTTAATATAGTATTTTTATATTATTTATTTTTTAAGCTAGTTACTATTAAAAATTTTATTTAAATGAAAAGAGACAGAAAACATTCCAATGTAGTTGACATATCCCTAAAGATTAAATTTGAAATCATGAACCAAACACTTTTTGATTTATAACTGTAACATATCAAATATTATCATGTTTTACCAAAATTATTGTATATTCATTATTCTATTGCATATAAACCACAATCATCACAATTTTTATAAACGAAGAAATATAATTAAGTTAGGAAAATAAACATACATGTGATTTGAATTCTTTGTATTATGTCAATTCTACTGCTGTCAATAATAGAGTATAAATGATCCACCATGTAAAGTTTTTTTGGCTTACATATTCTAACAACTGAAAATTTATAGATAGAAATAGTTGAAATTTTTCTATTTTCCTTTTCTTTATTATTCATGTTTTTTAGCACAATACAATGTGAAACAAAAGCAACAAGTCTACTTTTTTCATATGAGCACACAATATTTTTTATTTTAGTATTATTTTTTTGATGATCATGAAATTGGAATGAGAAGTGTGGCCAATTAATAATTTTAACATTAAGTTTTTGTATATTGCAGTGTTTTACTTTTTAATTGCCAACTTTTAATCCATAACCGCTATCATTAATATCAATTATTGGAATGCACTAAATCTATCTAATTACAATTGTCACCATAAATGAAATTTAATTAATTTTAAAGTTTTTCATTTCATAACCGCTTCCATGATTCACTAATATTGCAATACAATAAATATATCTAATCATTAGAAAAATAAGGGTATTTTGGACATCACCAAAAACAAATTTGGATATCATTTTGAATTTATCATTCTCCATTTTAAATTTACTCTTATTATAATTCTTATTTTATCGTTGGAAATAGTTTTTGACTTGACGGATGGATTTGGTTTGCTCAAACCAATACAAATGAAGCATTACCATATTATTGTAAATAACAATGTTTGTCTTCTCTTGGATATCAGTGATATGGATGTTGTCTTTGGTATTTTTTGAATTGTATTCTAACTTTTTAATTCATTTGCTATTTACTTTATATCATTTTATAAATAGTTTTCAATTTTTTTTTCAGTTTCTCTTGTTTCGATCGGTTGCTAATAATGATAACAATGATTCGTATGGTGCTATTTCAGATTTCTTTTTTCTAGTTTAATATTGCTATATCAGTTATAAAGGTGTCATCATTTTTGTATATTGAATTTCCATTGGATGTAACATGAAAAATTCTTGATATTGGTAAAAAGTACGTAATTGTAAAATTTACTCGCGATATTTGTGTGAAGATATACGGATGAATAAGGATTTTCTTGTCCTTGTTTCTCCATTTTCTAGAGAATATTTATTTTTTGAAATTGATTTTTTTTTTAACAATCTCAACTAATGACTAATGAGAAATTTCTCATACTTCAATCAAAAAATTTTGATACGTATAGTAATTTGAAACGGAGTCCAAGGGTAGGTAAATAGTTCTTAATGAGCAATTTTTAATTCTAATTACCAATACTATTAAAATGTAATCAATTGGTGTTTTATTTCTTTTAATTAGTGTCATATTAAAATGCAATTATTCTAATTAAAAGATACGAGGGTAATTTAGGAATAACAAAAACTAAGATAAAAAAGTGCTTACACTTGCACTCCCTAAAACCAACATTCATACTTTTTATATAGTAATGATAATGATAATGATAATGATTACATGGTGAGAGAAAACAAAATGTGGTACATTGCATACAAAGTCCCAGATACCATTGACAATTTGAACAAATACATAAAAATTTGAGAAAATTGTATGTAATAGTTCATATCTCGCCAATGGAAAAGAAAATTCAGGATGTCTTTTACCTACAACATGACGTCTAGATGATAGGAACCTATTCATGATCAATTAGAGGTACTACGTACCTTTACTGTTTCTGTAAATGACAATCTACGGCTCCCTCTAATCATAATTTTCCATGGACAACAACTTTATTTTGTTTGATCTTCGTTATTGCTTTTTACCCTGTTACAATCACGGTTTAAAGTCGCGATCATGATCTGAACCGTTCCACGTCGGTTTCAGCATATCGGTCGCAGTATCGACGAGACGCAAATTTTGAAACATTTATTATTCTTAAAATTGTGAATAATATAAAAAAATATGATAAACATAAGGCATATATATATATCCCCTCAGTTGTAGATCTTTATTAGTCTTGCGCACCTTAAATAACTTCTCGTTGCACCGGTCATTCAATCACTTAGGAGGGAAAATTCCAGAGGATGGTTCTTCAATAAATTTGAGGAATGATTCGCTTGTGCCACATGAAGCATGTCGTAGCTGTGCTGCTAATTTGCTGTTCCCTACTTGCATATGTTTTGTTATCGAGATATATTATTATTAACTCTTTGGCTTTTGCTATGGTTAACATTCTGCTGGTATCATGCTATGAACTTCAACATTGCAACCAGTGGCTTCAATGAAGGCAACTTGCTTAAAACTGGGAGCTCCTGTGGCTCAGCTTAGAAATGTACTATTTCTCAATGATGTGACTGTCTTGGCGATTACAGGTTTTAAATTTGCAGCCAGAGGTAGCCTTCAAAACTGGGGCTGAGCGCAGGGGGATCAGCAGGGGCAGCCGCCACCCAAGTTTTAACAAAATTTCGTTGCAGCCCTAGAAATTTTTAATAATTTTCATTTAGAACCACACTTCCCCGGCACCCAACGCCAAACCTAACTTTTAGTATCAAGCAAATTCAATATTTGAAAGCAATTCTCATTCACTCAATAACAGCCTTAAAACAAAGAATACAAAATTTATTCCAAACAAATGTTTGAAAGTTTAAACTATTTAACTTGACTTATTTCTCCCTAGTACTAGTAAATTACGGATTGGAAATAACTAAAAACCATATATGCAATCTTTTTTTGAAGGAAAATATATGCAATCTCAAAAACCACTTCAATAAGCGAGAACAGTAATCAATTCCATAAGAATTAAAAGAAAGGAAAAATAAGTACTTGAATACGAGGGAATTACAAATAACAAATATTACTTGTCAAAACCAATGATGGAGATGGAACATTGAACTGGACTAGAAAACTAGCCACTCATCTTCTAAGAAGAACGCTTATGAAGGGAAATTGAATAGTTCCTTGGATATTCTGTTTTCTCCTTTCTAGGAAAACGCTGATAGTTGATAGGAAAAAACCTCTCCAATTCCTGTCAAACTCCTTTCCAAATTGTATTTGCGCTCTTCTTTGATTGGCCAAGACGTAACCACAATCGTCCTGCCTAAAGATATATATCCAAACATATCTCTGATGAATTTCGACCACAATATGCTCTATTCTGCTCCATATCTTCTCACATCAAACGCAAATATATGCAAATAAGAGATATATCATGAGTCCTAGAAACTTACATGTTGTCAACTTGCCAGTTAACATGGACAGGACCTGCTTGGTTTTTCATCTTGTGGTAATATTATGTCTCCTTAGGACTTCCATAGCACGAACCAAGACCATCACAACTGACCAATCTGCACTTCGTGCCTTAAAATCCCATGTTACATTTGATCCATCAGATGTGTTGTCAAGAAGCTGGATATACCAAATCCCAGTGTGCAACTGGACTGGAGTGAAATGCTCGTCTCTCCACCAAAGAGTAGTGGCCCTGAACATTTCTCATCTAGGCCTTCAAGGTAACATTCCTCCACAAGTCGCAAACCTCTCTTTTCTCAATTCAATCGACATCAGTGGCAATGATTTCCAAGGCAACTTGCCTGAGGAGCTGGTACATCTGCAGAGACTCAGTTATATCAATTTCAGCTTCAACAAGTTCAGTGGAGGGGTTCCTTCATGGCTTGGTTTTCTGCCTAATCTTCAATACTTATATTTGGCAAATAACAGTTTCACAGGTATTCTTCCAAGTTCCCTGTTCAACGCTTCCAAATTGGAGGACATGAGAATTCCTTACAGTCAATTGGAAGGTATTATAGCTGAAGAAATTGGTAATCTTGGCAATTTGAAGATCTTAGATTTGCAAGATAACGAGCTTATGGGTCTATACCGCGGACCCTTTTCAATATTTCGTCGTTGCAAGTAATTACTTTGACCAACAACAGCTTAAGCGGTACTCTTCCCATGAACATCTGCACTAAGCTTCCAAAGCTTCAAGGAATATATCTATCAAGAAACCTATTATCAGGCCAGATTCTTTCACGATTCAAGAATTGCACGGAGCTTCAAAGTCTATTACTGTCCATGAATAATTTCAGTGGACAAATACCAAGAGAGTTGGAAACTTAACAATGTTAAGCAGATTGCGTTGTGGATATAACATGTTTGAAGCGTACGTGTCTTCATGAGCGTCAGCTGTGTTTTATTAACTAATTCTGAATGTATATAAGCTCTCTATGTCCATAGTTTCTCTTGAAGTTTATCTCAAACAAGTATTATGCATTGTCAAAAAAGAGATAATAACTGTTGGGGCGGGGTGTCAGCCATACTTTTTCCTATATATCTAGCCTTTCATGCTTGCGATTTCATAATCATTGAATCATGCAGAAAACGTTCCTGGTTCTATAATTGCTGACATGATGGTATAATGACCTCCTTTTTCCTCCATGGAAGAATATTGAAGTTCCCAATTTAGATTTGCTGGAATCAGCCTTTTCCGTAGAAACTGATTGGCATGTGACATTTTTGGGTTTCCATTTTTCATTATTTACGTGCAAACAATTGCAGGTGCAGTTCCACCAGGGATAGGAAATCTCCTGAATCTAGAGGTGTTGCACATGGCGTTTTGTTTGCTGAATGGTAATTACTGACTTACACTCGAGACAAATACTCAGTTGCAGCCCGCATTTGCTTAAACTAATTTTTGTGTATTCTCAAATTTTGGCAGGCCCAGTTCCAGCAGAATTTGGCAATCTTCAGAAATTACGGACTTTGGACCTCACTATGAATTTCTTAAGTGGTCCCATTCCCAAATCTATATTTAACATTTCAACCTTGACAAATATCTCATTTACATTGAATAACCTTTCAGGGAGTATCCACCTAATATAGACCAACAGCTGCCGAACCTTGAAGGGTTATTACTTGGTGGTAATAAACTAAGTGGAGTTGTTCTTGACTCGATCTCAAATCTTACAAAATTAAGTCAGTTGGAACTCGACAGAACCAATTTACTGGTTCAATTCCTACATCACTTGGCAGTTTGAGGTTCCTTGAGTATCTTAATATTCAACGAAACCATTTCACTTCTGATTCTCCGTCAGAGTTCAGCTTTCTTACATCTTTGACAAAATGCAGAAATTTAAGGTTTCTAAGCATATCAGAAAACCCCTTAAGTGGGGAACTTCCTCCTACCATAGGCAATTTTAGTAGCTCTTTTCAAAACTTTTATGCAATATTATGGAATTAAGGGCAATATTCCACATGAAATTGGTAACCTTAGCAGTCTGTTACTGTTGAGTCTTGGTAACAACAGCTTCACTGGACCACTTCCAGATACCCTCAAAGGGTTATCAAATCTTCAAGGATTAGATCTTCAAGATAACAGAATATCAGGGTCCATTCCGAACCATCTGTGCACTTTGAGGCATTTAGCTATAGTACAGTTGAGCAGAATCAATTCAGTGGTCAGGTGCCAGATTGCTTTGGAAATATAACTTCTCTAAGAGAACTTTATTTGTACTCCAACAGACTGAACTCCACATTCCCAGCAAGCCTTGGAAGGCTGAAAGACTTGTTATATTTAGAGATCAGCTCAAACTCTTTCATTGGTGATATACCACCCGAAGTTGGAATCTGAAGGCTGCATTAGACATTGACTTGGCAGAGAACGAATTTTCAGGTAACATTCCAACAACACTAGGAGGTCTCCAGAACTTGATCAGTCTCACATTGGCACATAATGAATTACAAGGTCCTATCCAGAGACATTCAGCAACCTGTTAAGTTTGCAATTATTAGATCTATCTAATAACAACTTCACAGGCGAAATATCTACATCATTGGAATCGCTTTTGCAGTTAAAATATTTCAATGTGTCATTCAATGAGCTACAGGGAAGGATTCCATTAAATGGTTCTTTCGCCAACTTCACATATGAATCTTTTATGTCAAATAAAGCATTATGTGGAGGTCCTCCTTCATTGCACTTCCCTCCTTGCACCGTCCATTCACCACATGGATCAAAGAAGAAAAGGTTGCGTCTAGTGGCATACACTCTGATACCATCAGCATTGATGATTATCCTCATCACCATTTTGTTGGCTATCTTGAAGAAGAGGAGAAAGAGGGCAAATACCTCTGAAGTGGAGTTATTCCCCACGATTTTGCATGAAAGGGTATCTTACCGTGAACTCCAGCAGGCAACTAATGACTTCAGTGAAAGCAATTTGATTGCAATAGGGGGTTATGGTTCAGTTTACAAAGGGTTCTGGAGGATGGGGCACCATTCGCAGTAAAGGTTTTCAGTTTGCAGTCAGAAGGAGGATTTCAAAAGTTTTGAAGCAGAATGTGAAGTTCTGCGCATCTTCGGCACAGAAATCTAGTTAAAGTCATCAGTAGCTGCTCCAACCCAGCATTTCAAAGCTTTAATCTTAGATTATATGCCCAATGGGAGCCTAGAGGAATGGTTGCATTCTTACGACTGTTCCTTGGATTTCTTGCAAAGATTAGATATCATGATCGATGTAGCTTCTGCATTGGATTATCTGCATCATGGTTATTCATCTCCAGTTGTGCACTGTGATCTAAAGCCTGGCAATGTTTTGCTAGATGAAGATATGACAGGTCACCTGAGCGATTTTGGAATTTCCAAGTTACTTGGTGGAGGTGAAATTACAGCACAAACAAAGACACTCGCAACAATTGGCTATATTGCACCAGGTAAATAAAACTTCTACCAATAGAACTTAGACTTATGCACCTTTACTATCCTAATCTGGAAGTTCTTGCTCTTATTGTAGTTCTGTTCATGTCCCAAGTCTTAACTGCTCTGGTTGACAAAGATGATACGACTTCGATTTTTTTTTTTTTAATGTAGAGTATGGATTTGAGGGTGTAGTATCCACAAGGTGTGATCTCTACAGCTTTGGTATTCTTTTGATGGAAACCTTTACAAGAAAGAGGCCAACTGATGAAATGTTTGGCGAAGATTGCGGATTGAAGGACTGGGTGATGGATGCGCTGCAAAATTCAGCAACCCATTTCATTGATAGCAACCTAATTACTCTGAGGGACGAAAATTCAAACAAAAAGGTGCAATGTGCATTATCGGTCATGGAATTGGCCTTGAGGTGCAGTGCTGAATCACCAGAGCAGCGCTAGACGCAAGAGGTGCTTTAAATGAACTCAGAAAAATAAAAGTTGTCTTTCTTGCAGATTCAATTTAAGAACAAATGGACACAAACAACAATCACAAGTAATCAGATTTCTTTTTGGGTGGGTGTAATATTTTCATTTGCATACTAGTGCAACTTGTCGAACCATTATGAAGGAAGTAGGCAACTTAAGTAGCATACCCTCTTTGGTTTACACTTGCTTTTGTGAGTATTAGATTGCGGCATACTCGGACAAGCAAGCGTTCACGTAGCAGTAAATCGCTGCCACCATATCGTTGCTGGCTACAGGTAAATACGTATCATATATATTCATTGCCCTTTTGGCGTCCAGACAAAATAAAAACAGGATTAATCATGAGATCATGTAAAACAACCCGTTAACTAAAGAGACCTCCGAGGCAACTATTTCATATGCCGAGAGTTCTAACCTCTCACGGTGTGACTTCAATCGTGAATGACAAGTTGACAACATCAAGTTGAGCAATTAATATGCAGGACCGTCAGACCAAAAAGAATCCCAAAGAACTATTGCTACAAAATGACTCCCTAGCATGCAAAAAGACTGAACGGCCAAGAAGAGTACGAGTAGTCAATTCCTCCCAATAGTTAACTTTGTTGGATAATTTACTCGAGGCTTTCGTACAAGTTACAGATTCAGTCTGCCTAAAACCTAAAAGGCCGCTATGAGCAACTTATACAGCTTTTGCTTCCACATACATCTAATTGTCAATGGCAAGATGTTTTTACACTGACCAAGTACACAGCAGTACTTGAAATGTTACAACACAACCTGTTCTTTTATGAACTGAGACGGGCAAACAAATCAAAATTTCCCGAGCAAGAACCACAGGCATACGTATCTATCTATGCTTGAATCCTGCTCATAAGTCTCAACGATAGTGACCAGGCTTCAATTCATTAGCTGCAGGGGCGTCAATTTTGGCAGAGGCAGAAACGATTACAAAGTTTCCCTTTTGCAGGTATCACAGGCATTTCTATCTATTGCTCAAGTCCTGCTCATAAGTGTGTCAGAATGTGACGGGCTTCAAGTCATTAGCTGCAGGGGCAACAATTTTGGCAAGGCAGATGGATTACAAGTTATACTTTTGCAGGTACCACAGGCATTTTGGTGTCCAGTAGCTCCACAAACTACCAACACTCTCATGGCACCAGTCCCCCAGCAAAAAATATGAAATATCCAGAGGCATCGAGCTCAGATGTAAGCATCTCTGCCTGCGTATGGTATAGCTTCGAACTTGAATGTACTTAGATATAAATAGAATTCACTATATTACACGGAGGGAAAGCAAACAATTGAAATGAGTGGCCTCATCCACATTAAAGAAAACTTGGACATTGTTCCTTTGCAAATGCTCACAAGCAGACAGCTAAGTGTATTACAACAGATGCCGCTCTTATAATTGCTTTAGCACTCAGTAAAGCTGGTCATGCATAGGCACTTTTCAGACCAAGGATTTAAGTCTGACCTACCTCGACAACCGGATAGACACATCAATCAAAAACTAGAAATAAAATGGAAAGAGCTCAGATACAAAATCCACTTATAAAGCCCAAGAGAACAAAGCTATCAATGTATAAATGTTCGAGTGAATTCATCTGTGGGGATGCAAGCATAACTACAAAGGAACATCAACACTTCCCCATTCTTTTAGTTGCTTCAAAGACATGATCATTAAAATCCAAGGAGCAGTGCAATAAAGTATGCCTGGACTCTCATCCCTAATCACACAGTTTTCACACTCTAAAACATAAGACTGCCCAAACACAAGCGAAAGAAACAAAGTAACACCTATGTTGCATATCCAGATCCAGTACAAACTTAAAGGCCACAAGTCAGATTACGGAAGATAAGGTGAGTTAGAGAATGTATTAAACACGCAAGGCATAGCCAATGATGCAAAGTAAAAGAACAAAAAGTCAGTATTGACATCTTTCCATTAAAACTTTCTCAATAAGAATAAGGTTTTGAACTATTAACACCAGTCGTCAAAACGACATGCTCCTACAGCATGTGGCACCAATGCAATTCACATTAGATATCACCAAGTCAAGTCACAAAGGAATATTCATCTACTTCATGTGAACTTATGCATCTGTAAAGAGACACTAAAAACGTCACCATAAATATGTGCATTTGTATAAGAACAACACATTCTTCACCTGACTTTCACATTTCCAATTCCCACTGCTCTAAAAACCAATCAGGAAGCAGCCCCTTTTGTATTATCCAACAAAAAACAATTACCTAAATCATAATTTTCCTCAGCAAAGAGGGTCACACATAATTATATCTGATCTTAACAAAATGCTAATAAGAAAGAAACACCAAAATTTATAACCAAAGAAAAAGATACTATAGACAGTGTACTACATTTAGCCCCTTTTAGTTTCCCAAATATATGTAACCTTTTAACGAAGAGGTCAAACAAAACAGCCACCTACCATCATGACATTAGCAGAGCTTATTGAAAGATATACACAAGTGCCCTTCCAGCCCAGTTGAATTAATGTATTGTGGTTGTTATTAAAAAATTAAAACACAATTTAAAAATAAAAACTCAAAAAGCAGATTAATTAGAACCTCCTAATTCCTCCTTTATACCATCTTTCTCTTCCTCTTATTTTCCTAAAATAAATCCAAAGAAACATTATGAACTGCTGACACGAGCCCAGCAAAAGGAGATCAGAGCTAGAGACGACTGCAAAATAAGAGTGGAAAACAAACCATTGGTTATACCAGATGGGATTAAGAATGAAAGCAAGTTGATGGCAACCAGTGGTTAGCTGAGGATCATAAAAGGAAAATGATATAAGAATGGAACACATGCTGGTGGTAGTAGGACACGCAACATGACATAATAAAGATGTGGAAGGTTGGATAAATTTACTGGCAGCGTGACAGAGAAGCAAAATTAGTGGAAGCTGAGATCTTTTTTGTGGATCAGATACCTGTTGATGAGGTATTGGTGGCTCTCAATCCCAGAGAGAAAAGAAAGGAGCTGATAGTTGTAAATGGGGACTTTGGAATGGCAGCAATGGAAAGGTGATGAAGGTGGTAGAGGAAGGGCAATAATGAAACCAATTGACAGTAACAGGCAGGCAGGAATATATAAGATTTGCTGGACTGCTGGATCATATGTTGCTACAAGTCTTATCAAAAGTTTTCTATCAAGTCAAAACAACGATTATTGACAAAATTTTAGACCATCATTTTAACTCCTAGTCAACAGCCATTCTATTGACTCACCCAATTTAGGTGTAGAAAGGACACTGAGATATGCGTATTCAATTAATAATAACTTCTTTCACAGATGGACTAGGAAATGGTAGTCAAGGAAGAGAAAAGAAAGTAGCATTGGCAAATGCAATCTCAACATATTTGCAAAAGCCAACATCTACCACATCACAAAAACTTTGGGGTTCGGTGTTAAGGGGGAGCAGATTAATAACAGATTTAACAGTTCAAAAAGAGCACCAAAACAAAAGAAAAAGAATAAGATAAAATGATATGAAGAAGTACAAATCAGCTTTTTTTTTAATTTCAATAACAAACAATAAAAATACCAGTAACAACTATAATTATATTAGAGAAGAACGCTACTACAAGAAACATTCCACAATCCAGTAAAGTCACGTAATACAGCAACTTCCTCAAGTAAAACCAAGAACTAGCCTAACTCTAAAATATCAAGTAATGGCCACATTTCCACAAGGAGCAGATAGAGTGAAGCAGCAACAGATGTACAGCAGTCCATTTATCAACCAAAGATATCATTGTCTGCAATCACTGAAATCACCACACCATATAAAGCATTTGCGCCCAAGCTCTCAAACACCTGAACAGATACCCATGCATCAACTCAATCCATTAATAGAATTTCAACATAAACAAAGTTTGCTGACATAATCTACAAAAAAAAAAGGAAAAAATATAGCACGTGTGCAAATGAACTTGTACATCCAGAAAGGTTAGAGAGAAGACATCAACAGAAGTAAAGGTGAGATTCAAGGCTCGTTTTCAACACTTAAAATACACTACATGCAGCTCATTTGAAATTGTTAAAGTTCAATCTTATAAAATCGTTGAAACCTAAAAAGCTGTATTGTTTTGAAAAGCTCAAGGCTATATAAAAAAAAGCAACCCAATGCCTGCTTTCAAAATTAGATCTCGTTCCCCAAAAAAATGTGTTTATACCTTATTATGAGCTGTTGACAAAAGGCCCCTTACAAATTAAAAATGAGTTTTTTTTGGTACAGGGCTTGTTAGCGCAAAGAAAGTATAATTTCATGTAAGGCATATTCACTCACCTTGCCAGACATGGGACTCCAACAAGGGAAAACTACACGCAAACAGCAAGACAGTCAGCACATAAAATGACCAAACTCAAAGCTCAAAAAGGTGGAGCAGAATGAAAATCAAAACTACTTCACAAGTAATTTGATGATTTTTTTTATTGCTATTAAACTACAAAGACATGCTGATAATAACTGCAAAATAGGGTGAGCTCATTCTTCAACAAGTCAAAATATAACATGCTGTCCAAACTAATGACAGAAGGTTATGAAAGAAATAACTTGGATTCACTAGAAAGAATTGGAATGCAAGTCACTAATCTTCAACCACATAGAGATTCCAAAAGCAGCTACAAGCTTTACTTTTGCAACCTAAACAATCAACTATAGGTAAGGCAGGAGGTTAGTTGTTATGCCCTGCTAAGCACAGGCAAAGCAGGAGTATTTCGGGCACTAATAAAAGAACAGTTACATCATACATGCAAAAGTACAAGCACAAGCAATCACTCAAACGTGCATAAAAAAAAGAAGGGGTAAAAACTTAGAAAGATGGGAGAAAATCTCCAGCCGTTACATGATCGAATTCAAGGTGACCCAGATATTACCACATTTCAAATATAAATGACTCGTAATCAATCATAATAAGCCACGGGAACAGGAAAGCTTAAAAGA